AAAAATAAGGGAGGAGAATTAAAACATGATTGAAAAGTTTTACTTTAATATAAGGAAATAAATCCTAAGTTATTGGGAAAAAGTTTTAAAATAATTAAAATATTGAAGTGATCATTTTTGAACTAATTGTATAATAATAGAAAAATGGATAATCCAAAGTATATAAAATAATACCTCATGATATAAACAGAAAATTAAGTAAGCAGACAGGGTTATCTTCTTTTTAAATTTCTTTCTATATATATATATAATACAGGGTGGTCCACTTATCATTTATAATGTTCCCAACTTTTTAATTTTCATCCATCACTAATTAATCTTGAAAATGAAGTTAGATAGATGAAAATTCAGATCAGATATATGGAAAGCTTGGGTAGAGGTCCGATTAACTAAATATGAACTTTGGTCTGGATTGGAAGTCGCATGATTTTACTTTCCTGGCTGTTATAACAGAGGGAAAGTAAGGCTATCTGGCAAAAAATGACCCTCCCAGATTTTTAAATTTTTGAACTTAAGACATCTTGAAACATTGAGAAATGCAACAAAGTTTGGAGGCAATTTCTATATGTATGGATGTTAGTGTGTGTGGGGAAGCATAATTTTGTTCACTTATATGAAGTTTTTCTCCTGTTCTTTTTGTCAAAAATTTCTGAAATTTTGCAGGTAGGTTTGTTTATTTGGGGGATTGATGCTATTAAATTTTGATGGTTAAAGGTCAAGGAATGGGGAGATAAAGGGTGTTGTGTGTATTTCCAATATGATAAGGTATACTGAATGACAATTTTACTCATTATTAGCATTTACAATTTTTTATAAAACTTATCTCTACCCTGAAAATTAAGCTCTTTGCTATTTTATAATAGTTAAAAATATAAAAAGTTTTTTAATAAAATATGATAACAGATGGCACTACAACAAATTTTAAATGTTGCTGGGAAAGTTGAGCAACTTGTTGCTGGTCTATTTTAAATTAAAAGATGATTAAAAATTGCAGACCTGCATTGTGACAATGTCACAATACATAAATGTTCATTAATTATTGTTGAAATGTATGATTATAATCATCAGTTTTTAATAAATTAATTGTTTTTAATAATTATATTTTAATTATTAAATTATATTTGTTTTCAATTGAAATAAATAAATGTCTTTATGTTGTTATTAACAACAACAATATATTTTTACATGGTAATCATTTTAAAGTTTTAGTTAGATAAAAGCAATTTTCTTTTGTTTTCAGGTGCTCATGGAGTTGGGAGACGACATATAAAAAACACGCTTATTAATAATCATCCTGACAAATATGCATATCCACTTCCATGTAAGTTAATTTTATTCAGTTAGATACAGTTGGACTTCCATATTGCAAAGTTCTATGTTACAAATTTCAATTATCAAATTTTTAATGGAATCTTCTTTTACATTTGATGTTATCTATTTGTTTAATATCTTCTGGACTGGGGGTAAGTCATTGTGAATGTGTGTGCAGATGGGTTTTTTGGTCATTTTCAAAAAATCATAAAAAAAGAACCAATATTTGTCATGATATTTTGGGATTTGTTTCTTTGTACTTTTATTAACATAAAACATTTAACAGAATAATCATTAAAAAGAAAAAATGTTTAAAAAAAATCTGATATAGTATTTAAATTGGATTAATTTTTTTTTGGTTTTGGCATTACAACTATGTACTTTGACCTGAGAATATCATTTATTAAATATAATGTTCCATTCATCAATAACTTTCTGTGCCTGGCCATTTTATAAAATATTAAACAATGCATACCTCTTAGCAGTGGAGATGATAATTTTTTCATTAAAATATGTACTTCCACACGGTGGAGATGGAAGTGTGGAAGTCATTTTATGAAGTGCCATAATCGAGGTTTCTTCGTCTCCTTTGCAGCACCAACGATATTTGTTGATCTAATACACATACGTCATCTGTTACTCATGCTGTTGCAACCAATAACAACAGCACATATATTTTTTTACTTAAAAT